ACCACTAGTGGAGGTATTAACAGATTAATGAGTTGGGCAGCTGTATGGCTTCATCCAGATCAAAAATGGGTTGTGAAATACGTTCACCTGATGCAGCATGAGCATTTCCCCATTTGGGGAGTAAAGCAGTGCAACAAACGGCTTAGCTGTCCTGGAGCTTGCTCACATCCAGTAGCATCATTAACTGAGCCCTGACCTTTTTTCCCCTGCACTTGCATTCCTTAGCTCACAGCTCTTGATCCTCAAAGGGCTTTTTGTCCCACCTCATCATACCCCACTTCTTTTCTTTCAAGAACATCCACAGGTCCCAGCACATACAGCTGGGTTGTACAACATTCCAAGGCTGACCACACTCCTGGACTCTGGGTGTTACCCTTGGCTTGGTGATAATCTCCCGCATGCTTTCCCCAGTACAGTACATACAGGTCAGCCCTTGATCGGCAGGACACCCCACCAGGTTACCAGGCAATACCAATAAGCCTTACTGACTGAGCCCAGCCCTCAGAGCTTTCAGGCCATGGCACTGGTGAACAATACCTTTTTGAGGTTTCTCTCCTCTTGCTTGTAAACACAATCCCACAGTCCAGCAGCTAGGGTTGATTAACCTCTTCTTCCCAGTCCCTCTGCAAGGGTTCTTCATTTGCAGGATCTGACCACTGCTCAATGTATCCCTGCATCAGCTGACCCCAAAGCCCTCCTCCCTTGGTCAGGGCAGTGCCTATAAGAGGCACAGATCTGGCTGCCACCACCACGGGGCAGGTCATGGCTGCATCCCACACAGGGCATCCTACAGCTCCCCACTATTGAAAACTTGCCATTTGTGGCCAATGCTACTAGCAAAAAATATTCTGGAACAATATGAGACAACAACCGACAACGTTTTTAGTGACGTCCATGAGGAGGCAACTAATAGTAGGAGGTGAACTCCAGCAGGAACAAATTCAGCCCCCATGGGAGTCCCTCTTGATCAGTAATGGTAGATTGCTTCAGCTGGGCAGTGTTTAAATCAAAATTGTCAGATAAAATCTTTCTGAGGGTCCCAGCTGAGACATTAGACCTGCCTTGAATTGCACAGAAAGTGTTTGTAGAGAGTGTGTGAAGGAGTCACATTGATGAGCTAATGGCAAATAGACTTCACTCCCTTTTCTGAATTGCGGCTGCATAATTCATAACTTATTCAGTAAACACATCCTTTAAATGAGTTTCCTGTGCTATAGAGAATAGCATGGAGCACATCATTTAAATTGGGTTTCTAAATTGATCATTAGCACATATTACCTTGTTCTCTCCCACATTTCTACCAATGCTTTACAGAAGAGCTTGAGATAAGGACCAAGGAGGCAGGTCACCAGATGTCCCATGTCATGGACTTGGTCACATCCTAAGCAGACCTGGCATACTGCTCCTGGACCATAGTAATGTGATATAAGTAATTTATTTTAAAGTATTCTAGGGCTTTCCTTCCAAAAAAAAAACCCAAAAAACCTAAAGGACATTAATTGTAGGAAAAATGTCATAATTCAGTAGGAAGTTTTTGAGCTGCTATTTACTGTAAATTAATTCCTGTTTATTGTTTTTCTATTAGTCATATAATGAGAGGAAGACATAGAAATTACCAACATAGCCTTTATGACCACTCTCTGAATTACTAATGAACAGCTTATTAAATATATGCATACATCCGACCTCAAAGCATAAAATAATGCACTTACTTACAATTCTTTCTGCTGGTTCACAGCCCACTACCGGCAGAAGAAACAGCTTCTGCTAATTGCATTGCCCAACAGAACTCTGTTTCCAGATGACCTTTTGCTGATCAGCCATTAGTATTTCCCTTCCTATGTGTTTTTACCCTCTAAAGTGCCAGCATACACAGAAAGGGAGACTTGAAACTGCTGTTTGCAATTTGTTAGTGCCATCTCTTGCAGCCACAAAAGTTGGGCTTTGAGACGTTTAAGTGTTTCTGAATACCATCACCTTGATGTCAGGCTTTGCTACAGGGAAATTAATTACAGAAAAGTATGGCTATCTAAGGTATTATTTAAGAGCTCAGAACATCAAAGATATCAAAAACATTAGGATAAAAATGAGTTGCAGTTAACAGGGGACATAGGAGTTAACATAAAGTGTTTCTATAAATATACGAAAAGTAAGAGGATAATGGAGGAATGTCTAGGCCTGTTACCAAAAGGAAAAGGGAATCAGTAACTCAGAGAGTGACTCTGTGTTAGTCATCTCAGAAAAGAAGACTGTGATCTGATATTTAAGATGATTGATTTGAACAATTGCATTTATGTGAATCGGGAAAGAAAAAATTAAAGAATATACGTAGGTATGCAAAGTGGCAGGGTCATATATGACCCACCCTGGTGTGCTTCAGGAACTACAAGATGAAATATTTGCTATCAGTTTTTATGTCTGTGAAACCAAGGAGAATGGGGACATTTCAGAAACCCAGAGAGGGCAAAATAAAATACCTATCTTTAAAAGGAACAGGTAGCAGGACCCAGGGATTTACAAACTTGTCAATCTCATTTAAATACCTGGAAAACATGGTGGCAAAATATTAAATAATCAGTATATCTACATATGTAGGATAAGAAAGAATAACAAAGTGATAAGTAACTGCCAGTATAAATTTGTCAAGAATAAAGTTGTGTCAGACTAACGCAATCTGGTGTAATGGATGAAACAGAAGCAATAGATCAGGCATATCTGGGTTTCTGTGAGGCTTCTGGTATTGTCCTAGATTCCACTGTGCTGAAAGACGAACAAATAAAGTGGTAGAAAAATGTAATATAGGTGCAGGTGCTCTGCTGTGCCTAGAAGGGCTCAAACAAAAACAAGATTTCTAACCAAAGCATTTACAACCTACAGTAATCGCTTGCACCTGGAAGATGAAAAGAGGACATAAATCAGAATATTGGCAATGTTGCACAGCATGCATTGTGGATGGCATTTGCTTTCAGTATAGAACAACTAAATCCATATCCACTAGACCTAAAAGCTTCAGATAACCAGTGTCACCAACAGCATAGGTCACTGGACAAGGGTCTACAACATGTAGTGCTATGCAATAAAGAGGCTCCACCAGCCCATTCCCCAGCTGCTGGTTGGAAACATTCAGAAATCAAAAGGATACAGGTGTCTCAAGACTGAGGTGGTTCTAACAATGACAAAGTTACTGAAGAAGCAGGATAGAGGATGGACATATGTTCCTGCAATTAGATATGGGCTTGAAAAGGTGAGACTTTGAGAGGATGAACTTGGAGAATGAGAATATTTATGTTGTTACCCAGGCTATGCAAATACTGTCCTTTGCTCAAGTTACAAAGGATTGGAAATGTGCCTTGCTGACGTTTTGTTTTGTGCCCATTAGTCTATTTTTAAATTGCCTTGTCTTTCAAGGTTCTCAGTCCCACTTGCCTGTTTTATCCAGTTGACCTGTCCTACCTGACACTTCTGTTATAAATTTTACAGTATAGAGAGAGTATCCTTTGTTACTGCCTTTACTGTACTTAGTAAAATGTGGGTTTCATCTTTGCTTTTGGTTCTCAAGCTTAATTAAAACTAAGTAAACACAATATGAGCACTATTTTTCAGTAATTCTGCATCCAACAGCCAAATGTCTGCATGCATATTGAGCACTGACACTTATCAAACAACAAATCTGTAACCAGAGTACAAATGAGAACCCCGTCCTTTCAGGAATTACAAATGCGTTCCCTTTTTACTGCCAAGTTACCAGCTGAATCAGACAAAAGTCTTAATTAAAAACACATCTGAAAAGTTTCCAATCAAACCATAATATAAACCGTGGTATTTTAAAGACCTGGAAAAAGACAAACATTATTTCTGTCACCCGGTCCCAGAGAATTATATAAACAGGTCTGGGCAGCCAGTCTTTTATTTGAATAATGTCTCAGCATTCATTCCCTCAGAACACAACAATAAAACCCACAGTTAACATTTTAACAGTGCTGAGTGGATGCTGGATGCTCAACTTCTGTTTGGTCTCAGTAACGTTTAAGCGCATATCTGACATTTGTGCCCATAAATAGCTCCCTGTAAGACCCCGAGCTGTTCTGACCCACAGAATATTTACAGTACAGCACTTGGTTTTCAGACTGTGCTTTTGCACCCAAGTTGTCCCCTTGCAGCCTGACTGCAGACGGGTCCTCGTTCACACGATGGCCACCATCTTTGTCAAACCACCAGCCCACCCACTGGCGACCTATGGAAACCAAGTTCCCTCGCAGAGGTGGTACCATTTCTCTCTTCTGTGACTTGCTTGCAGAGAGATATTGCAGCACAGAGGCAGAGATACACAGGTGATTCCAGTGAGGAGCTGAGAATGGCAGACTGCTTGCGAACACGGATCCTCACTCCTGCAGCTTTCCCAGCGCAAACTGGAGCTGCAAACTAAATGTCTGCTGTGACAGTCGTGACACTTGGGAAAAAGGGTGGGGGTGTGTGGGGAGGAAAACACCACTGAATTCCACCCAGTTCTTGCTTTACAGGAGAGGGTGTAAAATGTTGAGGGACATGCCACAGGACGAGTAGCTTAACAATGAGGAACACGAGACTCATGAGGGACGTCTGTCCTTTAGGAGACTATGGCTACCGATACACAAAGATAAGAAAAGAAAGTAACCATCAGCCTCTTCAAAGAATTAAAAACCCCTTGCTGCATCTTGGTTCTAGTGAATAAAGGCTGGTAAATGTTCTTTTCAGTTAACTTGTTGGTTACAAAGTCTACTGTTGCTTTATCCCCTCTGTTTCACCCACTTAAAATTGGTCCATGAGGTTTAGCCTGTGAAACCTTCTGCAAGCATTCAGGGTGTCTATGAGAAAGCGCCCCAGAGAAGTGTAAGCCTGTTCAAAGCTGCACTTTTTAGGACAGTAGGGAAAGCAGGGCCAGCTTTTCTTATTGCATCTTTTGCAGCAATGAGCTAGACGAAGCAATCTCATGTCATCTTTTTGTTTTTCTCTGCATAGAAATGGTTTCCATCACATCTGAAAGCGTTACACAGCTTTACAACGCCACAGCCACCCAGGACCTCACAGGCACTCCCGTGAATTTCGGCAATAATTCAGGAGTGACTCAGGTGAATCAATCTGGATGTGTTAATCAAGACATATGGCAATGGCTACACGATTTTCAGCCCGGATTCCTCTGGTTTATATTTGTTCTGGGAGCAATAGAAAATGCCTTTGTCCTCACCGTCCTGTGTTTCCACAAGAGTCGCTGCACAGTGGCTGAAATTTACCTGGCAAACATGGCACTGGCTGACTTAATATTAGTCTGTACTTTGCCCTTCTGGGCCATTAATATTTCTGAAAATTATCAGTGGCCTTTTGGCCTGTTCCTCTGTAAAGCTGTCAACGTAATGAGTTACATGAACTTTTATTCTAGCATTTATTTCCTGACACTAGTGAGCATCGACCGCTATCTGGCCTTAGTGAAAACCATGTCTCTTGGACGGATGCGGCGAACGGTCTGTGCCAAATGGAATAGCTTTGTAGTCTGGATGTGCGCGTTGCTCATATGTTCACCAACAATGGTGTTCCGAAATTTAAAGTATTACGAAGAATACAACATCACAGCCTGCGGTCTTGTTTACCCTACCCACCACTGGGAGCCTGCAAACAACTGCCTGCTGAATATTGTGGGCTTTGTGATGCCACTCTGTGTAATCACCTATTGCACTATGCAAATCATCAAAGCCTTACGAAGTAGCGAGCTGCAAAAACTGAAGTTGGTTCAGACAGAGAGGAGAGCCACGATGCTGGTCCTTGCTGTGCTTTTGCTGTTCATCGTTTGCTGGCTTCCATTCCAGATCAGCACGTTCATCGACACAATCTGTCACCTCGCACCCACTCTCACATGCCTGAGACAAATCAATGACTTACTGACCCAGGTAGCTGTGTACTGTGCCTTTAGCAACAGCTGCCTGAACCCGGTCCTGTATGTAATTGTTGGGAAGCACTTCCAGAAGAAGGCTGTGGAATTCTATAAGGACTTGTTTCCAAAGAGGTGCAGAAAATCACAGTCTGTGCAGATGGAAAACTCCCTGGACACTTTAAAAACTTCAATTTCAAGTGAATACCCAAGGAAAAAGTCTGTTTTCCCACCACCACGATAGCACAATTTGTTCGTTGCGGGGAAAAAAAGGCTTCTAACATATCAGTCTCGACTAATATCCGTCTGCTACTGGTCACAGAATAAACGTGTGGTAGAATTCATCATTTGTGTGAAATCAACAGTTTGATCCTAATGGAAACTCCATACAGGGACCTTCTTCTAATGTTACTGGATGTTTGCCATGATTGAATCCTACTTTGTAGCATACTTACATTTTCATGGCTGAATAATGTTTCATGTATGTCTCATTTGAACTGTTTGCATTTCTAAGGTGTACATACATGGACATACAGTTCTCTGAATAGACCCCCAGTGTAGAAGCTATTGTCAGGATTGTGCAACTACTTGTGGTACCCATACAGTGTGTAAGACTAGTTTTTTGATTGCAGGGGCTTGTATTTGAGTAAGTTCTGGAAAGTTAATCCTGTAGGACTATTATTCAAATAGACTATTAGGTGTGACCATCTTCTGGGCTTTTAGTTTCTCTGTTCAGTCGTCCAAAACTATTTTGATTGTTTGATTGATGAGCTATGCCTTTTTGCAACTGCTCTGCCCCTGCTAGTTCCAGGTTTACATCAGCTTGTATGCATGGAAAGTAGCTCAAAAAAGGTAAGGCATTAGCAGAAGGAAGGCTGCAACCAGGTGCATTAAGTTAGCTGAGTTTTCTTTGTAGCAGGTTATTCTTTACCTCTTCTGCATCAGGGTAAAAGAATTCATTTATTCCTTTTGAGTGAGTGAGTGTTATTTACATTCATACCTACACTTCAGCTCAGAGACTTAGGTTTTAATATTCACAAAGCATAATTAATATTTGTAATGTTTTTTAATGGCAATATAAAAGCTCAGCACAACTGGTATAATCTCACAAGTAGAAGAAACTGAAGGAGGGCATCACCTAACTGCCTTAGAAATCTAACTGAAGCTAGTAGGACTGTTGAAAGTTCAAAGTATTCAAGAACAGCCTTTTCAGGCACTAATACTTACGTTTTATTTGTAGAGTTAATCCGAGTGACTTTGACGCAAGATAGCTTTTCCCCAATTGGACTCAGTTTATGATCTAAGTTGAGTTTACACAGAAGATAAACTCACAGTGTACCAAATTCTCAGTATGCACTTTTATCTCTAGGAACCTCGATCAAAAACTGAGTTGGAGATGATGTAAAATCTTCTGAAGCTAACAGAGTTTTTGTTCTTTCCAAAGCACTTAAGGTTACAGCCTTAAAACCATCAAGGGAAATGGAGTTTGGTGACATAAGTAAACTCAGACAGCTACTGCAGTCTGGTATTTATTCATCAGAGCTTGAGTGGAGCAATAAAGTATATTAAACCTTCAAATGATTAAACCCAAAAATACTCTAGAGGTGTGCAGATGTGCTATAAAAACTATGGGATTTAGATCACTGTAGATGATTTATAGACAATTTCCATAGGTTTTCTTTAATAATCCAGTATAATCCTACATCATAAATACTTCTATTGTTCATTCTTTATATTGTCCAAGACGCCTATGATGAAACACTGCAAGGCTTTCTGTTATCTCCAGCGAAGAGCACGCTGTTCACACAGTTGTTAAATAAAAGCAACTCCATACAACGTTTGTTGAGGCAATAGAAGAGATTTTTGGGTATTTGGTACTGAGAAGTAAAATATAAAAATGCTATTGTATTAATATGATATTAATTTAAATCATGTAAATATATAGACACGTTATTTTGCTATGCAGTAAGCATGTACAACAGAAAATAAACTACTTTCATAAATGAGAGTTACTGACATTGTCTTCTCTAGCCCATATCCTGTTACTCAGGAATGACTTGTCAGAAGTGCAATTGTTACAGGTGCTTTCTTTCAGCTCCTGTTGTACCACACGAAAGTGAGCTGAAACCACAAAGTTTTAGCTACTTTGAGAGTTTTGTGTCAGCTTTCTTTCCAGGGCCCATTTCTGAGCTGTGCTGACCACCCTCACTCCCTTTGGAAGTTAAAATCTGAATTAAAACAGCTAAGGGGACTGATATCTCTTCAGTGGTTTTTCACTCTCTGCAGACCGCAGAACGCACAACGTTGGCTCACAGACTGTTTAATTCTCATCCTTGCTCACTTTCCAGCACAATCAGACATTGTGCAGCGTTGGCATGTACCATTTATGCAGGTACAAAAAAAAAAAAAACCAAGAAATAAAGTGTAATGTCCAAGCTACATCTTACCTACTGGCAGTTTGCAGTCCCACTCAGTCGCTTGGCTTTGTCTTGTTCTCACAGAAACCAGGCAAAATATGAGAAGGGTTCTTGGTAAAATGAGGGCAGACATAGTCCTGAGGATCTCAGAGCTGGAGATGTCAAACTGCAAACACGCCACCTTTTTATTCCTCTTTATCCTGCCACCCTCCCTCAGCTGCTCCCGTCTTCCCTCTTACCTGAAGCTGACACCTCTTTTATTTAGATTTTATCCATACAAACATCTGACCCTACATTCAGTCTGACGGAGGCGCATGGAGACCGTTGGCAGAGGAACAGCAAGGATATCAACAGCCGGTTGATATTTCTGGCCTGCAGTAGGTACGGGCAGGAATAATTCTCATCTTTTCACTGTCTGTTTTTTTCAGGTTGATTATTGGCTTCACTTGAAATGCAAAACTAATGATGTTAACTGCTGTTAGCACAAACAGCTGTGGGCAAGTCAAGGTTGCTCTTTTTCAGGCAGGGTTTCTGTGGAGAAGTCAGGATCTCAGTTCAGGTCTCCTAAATCCCCAAGCAGTACTTTAGCCATTGAAGCATCCTTTCACTCCATTCTTCCACCAGCACATTGTGGGTTTCCAGCCTATAATGGCTCATTCCATGTTTTGCTGTTGCAGCCTCTGTAAACTGCAGTTCGTATTACCGTGCTGTGATGCTACCAGGATGATTTATTAGGAATTGTAAAAGGCTGCACCAGAGTTTAAGGTCTCCTCAGCAACCACTGTCTATAGCACATGTAAAGAAATCCAACAAGCTGAACAAAGAATTTTACATCACAAGGTCGCATCAAAAGACTTTTCTCCTGTTCCAGAATAGATGAACTGTTATAACAGATAACTATGTTGATTTGCAAACCATTTCAACAAAGGAAAACAAACCATTAAATCATACCATCCCAAAAAGATAATTTGTTCAGATCATTAAAGGCTTCAACTACATTAAGAGGAAGAGTTTTAATGGCTGGGCTGTTGGACCAAGAGCCAGAACTCTGGAGACCTTTTGCATTTCTGCCATTTGTCTACCACACAATGTAAGCAATAATTCAGCGAACAGTCTTACCTCTGCCTTCATCAACATATTTGCTCAATGTTTCTGATCAGAGAGGCCCCGTCAGCATTTGTAAATTCCTTTGCAGCTCTAGAGAATGTGTACTTTTTGCAGGAAAGTCAACACAGGCAAGGTGGCTGAAGAACATAGAAGCTTAAAAGATAATGTGCGGTGAGTATCCTGAGTTGAAGGCACTAATACACAGATATGTTTTAGTTATGTATACACAGCAAAGGCCTTTTAACTGTTGACTCTAATAGAGATGTTTTTAAACTTAATCCTTGACATTCCTTTAATTTGTGGTCCATAACATCTGTGCAAACTGTAAAATGTTACCAAATCATTATGTACTTTCTACAAGTTGAAATGAAGACCCAAGTTGCAAAGAAATAATACGCTAAATCCTCTTTTTGTATACAGTTACAGCTTCTTATGTGGACTTGTTCCAAGCTGTTTAAGAGCTGGACCTACAGCAGTGCCTATTAATTTCACTATTTCCTCCAAATGCATATACTCTCAGTTTTGAACCTCTCTCCACTGCTGAGATACGTTCTAAAGATGACGATGAAAAGCAGTAGAAAATAAGAAACTCAATTTACAAAGAAAAGTTGGATTTGCAAGCCAATATTTTGATGCCATTTTGTAGTGATGAGTTTCATAAGACTATGTTATTTATCATTTAAATTTTAGACGCAGCTGCAGTTTTCTATTCAGAGTCTGTGAGTAAATGTGGATGTAGGCAGGCTCCTAGAGATTCACGTCCAAGCAAGAATGAATTCCAGATTTCTTGTTATTGCTCAAATTTTCTTCCTCACGGAAAAAATAACTTAAACACAGAAATTCACTAACGTAAGCAAAGAGGAAATTTTGGAAAGTCTGTGACGAAGATCTCCTGTTGTATTGCACTTACCTTAATGAGTCAGCGTGGGATGTGTTGTTTAGATATTGATGTCCTGTAGGCTATTAAGATTCCTTAGGTAACATGTAATTCAAAAAAAGTTGTATTTCAGGTCTTCACCAAAATAAATGTTTTGATCCAGATATTAAAAAAAGAACACTTTGACAGAAGTGAAGATTATAGCTTCATTTGAGACATGTTTTTTATACTGTTTCATTTATTTAATAAAATAAGTAAATGTTTAAATAGGATGTCATCTAAATAAAAGAAGTATTTACACATTTTAAATTTTCAAGTTAAATGTTGGGTTCTTTAGAGTTTTCTCCAGTGTGATGGTGTTAACCAGAACAATTTTTCAAATTTGTCAATTTTACCATTGTTTTCATAATTTGAACTTAGTATCTTTTTAATGAATAAAACGTTAGAATAAAAGTATTTATCATGGTGATAGAGAAGTTCCTAGTAAGATATCACCATGCAGCCTTGCATGCCTTTTAAATTTAACTCACTTGCCGAACAAGAAGAGACACAGTGGAATAAGAAGTCAGAGAGACAGTGCCTCTGTTGGGTAGATAGCCAATGGGAAAAAAGTTTTCGTAAGTAAATAACAATTCAGATCCTGCATAATTTCTCACTGTTTTTCATAGAATTATAGAATGGTTTAGGTTGGAAAGGACCTTGAAGATCATGCAGTTCCAACCCCGCTACCATGGGCAGGGACACCTCCCACCAGACCAGGTTGCCCAAGGCCACGTCCAGCCTGGCCTTGAACACCTTCAGGGATGGGGCCTCAACAACCTCTCTGGGCAACCTGTGCCAGTGCCTTACTACCCTCAAAGTGAAAAACTTCTTCCTAATGTTTAATCTAAACCTGCCCTCTTCCAGTTTATAGCCATTCCCCCTCACCCTGTCACTACATGCCCCAGTAAAAAGTCCTTCCCCAGCTCTCCTGTAGGCCCCCTTTAGGTACTGGAAGGCCACAATAAGATCTCCCCTGAGCCTTCTCTTCTCCAGGATGAACAGCCCCAACTCTCTCAGCCCCTCCTCGCAGGAGAGGTGCTCCAGCCCTCAGATCATCCTCGTGGCTCTCCTCTGGACACGCTCCAGCAGGTCCATGTCTTTCTTATGTTGGGGACTCCAGAGCTGGAGGCAGTACTCCAGGTGGGGTCTCACAAGAGTGAAGTAGAGGGGCAGAATCGCCTCCTTTGACCTGCTGGCCACAGTTCTTTTGATGCAGCCCAGGATGCGGACGGAAACTTTTGAAAAAGAAGTTGAAAAACCTATATACACAAATATACTTAAAAGAGATTTGTATTTAAAATCTGACATGCTTCAGATGTGTTGTTTGGGTTTTTTTATTATTGTCATTTAAGTAAATCAGAGGAGAATCCGAATGAAAAAGATAAAAATAATTGGTAAACAAGCATCCTCAGGCTACAAGGTCCCATCAGGTAATCACACAAAAAGATTGTTTCTGGGTGCAAGCCTGAGAAAATACAGCGGTCATCACACACTGCTGAGAAATGATGTTCACAGAGGCTCATACCCTGGATACCTATAGCGGGGTGCAAAAGACAACATTTTTCAAAAACAGCGGAAAGACTGACAGGGGCTTTAGTGTGGCCAAGCTTCAGCAGCCCTTCCCATACACCTATCTGCTCCAATCCCAGCTCCTTGGCACAGTCCTCCCCCCGGCTGGCAGAGGAAGGAGCTCCCACCACCACCAAAACCTAGTTCAAAGTTTGTCTTTGTGTTCATTGGCACTGAGAGCGAAGTTCAGAGCTGTAGATAAAATTGTTATTGTTACGGACATAGTTAACCACACAAAGGAACTTTTAATTGGCAAGGACCTGTACTTGAAAGCTTTAATTAGTGGTTATAGGAGGAGTCACAGCATATGGCTTATATGACTTCACAATGGGAATGAAATATTTCACATGCCTTGAAAATTACTACAGCCGACATTTGGAGAAGTAAAAAAAAAAAAAAAAAAAAATCCTGGGGCTTTCTTCCAAAATGTAACATCACACACATCGTACATGGCCAACAAAACACTCAGCACTCAGTCGTGCCTCAGGATGCATCTCTGAATTCTCTCAGTAACCTCTGTACTGCTATTTACCAACTGGTTCTGAATTTGAAACTTTACCTAAATTGCAAGCAACGACAAGGACTGGGTATGTATATCTGTTTTTAATGTCTTACCTTCCTTAAAATTATTTCACATACTTTTTATAGAAAAAAAATATCTTTTGTGCTCTCAGTTCTGGTCTGTGCAGTCTAGTAAGAGTTTCCCTTTCCTTTTCTCCATGAAAGTAACTCTATAAAGTTCAGGATTAGTTCACTTTATGTGTAAAAACATTATCCATTTTATAAAATTTCTTTATAGCTGAACATTTCTCTTTCAAAGTAATCTTTATTTTAAGATTGTTCCCAAAGCTTAAATTGTGTTTATTTAGTGTTTCCAGAGTACATGATCCTAAGTGGGTATTATGTCTTAATAGGAATCACGGTGATAGATTCACTGTACATGGAAGTTAATCAGAAATGAGTCATTATTTGCATAAAAGATGACCAGAACGTGTTAAGTACATAAATTGAAAACCATTCATGTGGCTAATTGTCCATTAGCACTAAATACATAAAAATACTTACAGAAGAAAATTGCCTTTGAAGAAGAAATGAAATTAAGCAATGGAAAATGAATTGCATTTTTTGTCAAGAGGACATGTGGAGCTCTATGTTCACAAAAGTTGTGGCTTGTGGTAGTGCTCGGGCACTGGCCAGTAGACTCTAAAGAAATTTTCCCGGTAATAAACTCTACAGAAACTTCATGTACTGTTGAACTATTGTACTATTGCACTATTCTTGTTCCTGCTAAACAAGAAGTCAGATTCAGCTAATGTTCCTGAAGTTTTTAGTTTAGCCCATAATGAATGAATTCGTGGCTCCAGCCCAGAGATCACATCCGAAATGTACAAAGTGACTGGCATAAACTGACAGCAAGAAATCATCAGAAAATAGGCAAGCAAGGAAAATAAGCACTTCTTTTTCCTCTATATTTAGTAAAACTAATAATTCTGTTTATAAAAAGAAATGTTTAACTCTTATCTTTCTTCTATGTTATTTTTGACATATACGGGTTCTCTTCCATTACTCTCACACCTTAGCCAGCCTCCTGCTATAAAAAGTTAGACTCCTGTTGTCTCACAGTTAGCCTCTTTGATGCTAATCAGCCATTTAAGTGCTCTATATATCTTCTCTGCAGTTTTAGATCCTCTCAAGTTGTCTCAGTTTGCACGAGACTGCCAGTGAACTACATAAAATTCAGACTGTTGTAAGGGAAGATGTTCCAAGACAGAGAGCTTTGTCAGCCGGAGTTGTAGCCCAGTTCCCTGACAAGACTGTCAGCTTCAGTGAGTTTATGCACTCAGATAAAACTTTGCTACTCACTGAATTCTGCAATGATGAAAAATGTTCTGCGCATGAAGTACCAAATTGTGTGGTGTGGAATGTTAGTACTTACCTGATTCCTAGAGGCATCGCAGAGATAAGTATGGCAAGCTGCTCAGGTATAGGCATCACTAAGGCTGTACGTGTGTGTGAAAGAGATGAATGGTGGTCCTAAATGCTCTCTTCAGAAACTCCGTCCTTAGCTATCTCCTTGGTCTAAAAATACAGAACCCGAAAGAGCAGAACTAAATAGCTGTAGCAGAAAGTTAACATTCAGGATGACTGACTGCAAAATATTATTTTTTTTAAAAAATGTGTTCTTTTTTATGATTGGCATGCTCCACTTGGATAGGAAACACTGAAATGTTAGATGTCACCACAGGCTCCGTAATGTCTTGCCTACCATAATGATTCTGAGACTGAATGCCTGTAAAAAACAAGATCCAGGCACTACGGTCGAGCATGACAACACCAGGAGAAGAAAGTCACCACAGGAGGCAGCTCTGGCAACCCAGTGGGTTTACACGGGAGGATAGCATTTTACCCGTGCTCTCATCCCTGCCCGGTCTCACACAGAGTAACCAGAGAGAAATAAAGGCATTGCTGATGCTATGAAAGTCTAAATGCTTTGGAGGCCGGGGCTGCCTCTCTCCAGCTGCACTCATACGGAATTTTTGGACTGGAGAAGAGCGCTGTGAATTCAGAGCTGCAGAGGCCTTCCCTCTAGGCAAGATTTTGAGCATAGGGTTTTGGAGGAGTCAATATTTTGTTATTCCGACTGCTGACGTTTGAGAGCAATAAGCTGTCTAAACTAACGGCTATTTTGAACCCAGCGTTCAGGACGGGAGGAACTGAGAGGGAATGAAAGAATGCAAAGTTAAGCAAACAATCGCTGCGCACAGCGAGTGAGTAGCATTCCCAGTTCTGGGAACCAGGCATCATCCTACTAGAGTTGTACATAGCACGGAAAATAAGAGTCAGGGCAGGGAAGGGTGCAAAGCTAGCTTTGTGTCACCAGCGTGACTCCTGCTGCTCTCAGGGAGCTGGAATCCGGCTGTGTCTGTTTCTGTCACCAGTCTGGAGGACACATACAGCGCTACTTGCACCAAATTGGCACCTTCCTTCCTCTGTGCCACCCACTTTAAACAATGGCAGCAAAGAGAGGAAATTTCACAGGATGTGGAGGAAGTTCTATCCTTGCCAATACCGGGAACATTTCTCACCGCTGCACATAAGAAGCACGGATTGATCTGGCCGATAATCATCAGTGAGCACTAATAAAGAATTTCCAGCATTTAAGTGTTTGTTACATCATTGATTGGGAGACAACTTTTAGAATGTTATGCTTCTTTTTTGCAGTCCCTTTCTCTCATTTCAAAGACGTCTCTTGTTCACTTCAGAATTTTTAAAAAATGACTGACACTCCTCTACTGAATGTTCCCTCCTCAAACCAGAGCGAAAACAAGAGCAACTCAACTATTTGCCCGGACTTGAATGACTGGTGGGAAATCGTGTACTATATAGTACCTAAGTATATAGACACCATCTGCATTATCGGAATGCTTGGAAATCTATTTGTTCTCCTCACATATTCGCTGCACAAGGGCCCCCTGAAGATAGCTGAAATCTACCTTATGAACCTGGCTGTTGCTGATCTTATCTTCCTCACGTGCCTGCCTTTCTGGGCAGAGAACATCAGGAATAAATTTAACTGGCCGTTTGGCAATTTCCTGTGTCGCAGCACCAGCGCATCCATTGGCCTAAACACGTACACCAGCATCTACCTGCTGGTGGCAGTCAGCGTGGATCGCTACTTGACTTTTGTCCATACCTTGAACCACAGAGGGATACGGAGCAAAACTATGGCCAAAGGGATCTGCTTGCTCGCCTGGTTCTTCGGCATCCTTCTCAGCGTCCCAACCTTTACCTTTCGGACCGTGAAACACTTTCCCCTGTGGAATATTTCAGCGTGCACTTTAGACTTCCCCAGCCCATCGTGGGTACCAGCTGAAAGGCTGGTGTTCAACATAGTGGGGTTTGCGTTGCCATCGACAGCAATCGTCTTCCTTAATTTCTCTACCATTCGCTCCCTACAAAAAAATACAAGAGAGCGAAGAGCGCTCCGAACAAAGAGCTGCAAGGAGCACAAAGGCACAAAGGCTACCAGGTTGATCTTCGCAGTGGTGCTGATGTTTCTTTTGTGCTGGACTCCTTACCATTTTTTTGTATTCCTTGATATATTATACCAGAGAGAAGTGATTAAAGGCTGCTTCTGGGAGGAACTGCTCAACTTTGGTGAGCAGTTTGGTTACACTCTGGCTACCACCAACAGTTGCATTAACCCTGTGATTTATGTCATTGTTGGGAAATACTTCAGGCAAAAGGCTTTAGAAGTTTTTTTGCAGTTTATCCCCTGCGGATGTCCTTTGAGCTGTGTATCGTTCAAAGAAAAGTCTTCATATTTCAACATGTTTCCAGTCAGGAGTAGTTTAACCTAACAGTTTTCAGTTCCATCTTCATTTTGATGCTACAACTTATCTCAAATGGCATTAAAAAATGAATATGAATTGCACTGATCTAACATTCACAGACTAAGCTAATTATTTATTAAAGTAAATCACTTGACTGCAGTAAAACTGACAGTAAATTGTTACACAATTACTCTTCAAGTACATAAAGATTTTTACTTTTTATATGTGAAAATATCTGTGCTGGCCATTGATACTGTATCATTTTGGAATATCTTTCATCTGTGGCAAATCCTTATGTACATAGTCATATTTTTATGAATCAAAATCAATAAACTGTGTGACATCCCATTTTACACCGTAGTCTTGTTCTTTCTTATATTTTTTGCTGTGGTTTCAGTGGTTAGAAGAGGCCCAGTTAGGAAGCAAAGTTACCGAACAAAATTGGTCCTGTTTTACTTCAAACCAGGACATTTTTGTATTTTGCCTCTTTCCCTGTTCCTTTGGGGAAGAGTAAATATATAATTCTGTGATTAGAAATCCTTGCTGCCACCAGAATATAAACTCTGGTAGAAGTAATAGTAATAATAATGACATAACAAGAATACACCAGACAGGAGATAAGAAGAAGGAAACTTCTTTTCCATCACAGCCACAATTGCAGAATAGACTAAAGACAACTGAGATATCTGTTCCCATAACTATAAGAGTATGTATACGTACAGACAATAGAAGAAGACAGGAGATATAGTGCAGCCTGTTCAGCCAGAAAGGTATTGAGTGCAGAAAGGGGCATACAAGCACATCATTTGTATAACAGCTCATTTAATTAGTTATTATAAAGCCTGTTCAGTCTTGTACTCACTGTAACAGTGCTGCATTTTCCGCAGTTCTTTTTGGTGTCACTATTTTGAATACAGAATTAATCTCTTATTTAATTATAGAAATCCACCCATTCCACTTCATTGCAGTAAGATTAGTGTTCATTTTCAGTGATTCCCCCAAACCTTTCGAATCTGAACAGTGGAAGCCTTTTGAAGGGTTAAAAGTCTGTCTTCCCGCAATGATGGTTTAAGAATGAAGGGTGGATTAAGGGATCAGGCAGGAAGTATCACTCACAGCTTTTCACTCCTTCAGTGACAGGCTTTTTTTAAATAAATGTCAGGGTTAGACCTTAACAGTAACAACAGAATGTGAAGTCTACTGAGTCATCTGAGATGAAAAACTTAATTCCGGTTTACTGTAAACTGTTGCATGCTGCATTTATTTAATGCATCCCCAGCCCAATCCTTAATTCAAAAAAACTTCCAAGCAGAGATATTTTCTGGGGAAGAAAAAAAAAAAAAAACAAAAAACCAGTAGCTGAAATAATTTTAAAAAGTGTGTAAACAGAAGTACCATTTTCCCTATGCATTGGGACGGGACCTTAAAAGGGAAAAATATCTTGTCTTGTCTGACTAATGCTTGTTCATGTTATGCAATGTACACAAATAAAGGGAAAAACATTTCTTGAGCACTGTGGCCTATCTAGGGTATGAGCTAACAGACTGAAATCAGTCTGAAATCGGAAATCAATGGAAAGCCTCCCATTTACTTCAATGGGCAAGTGACAAGGGCTCTCATGAAAGTGCTGCTTCTACTTTACATGTGCACAACTGTCAGGGAAAGCATCTTTAGTTTAAATACCGCTTTAAACCACTTAACAGGGTCTTGCAAATCAATGGATTTACTTTCCAATATGAATGTACGTAAATGAAAGTATTTTTTAATCTATGAAGTAAAAATTGATCAGCTTCTCTCATTACTGATTGTGTGAGCCGTAATAATATAGAAAAATACGAAAAGTAAATGCAATTTACTCCACAGCAAATGCAAAATTCCATATTTAATCAGAAATAATCCCCTGCACAGATACAGGGTGCAGAGTGAGAGACCAACAGCAGTTCAGCAGAAAATGATCCATACCTTAAAAAGTCGAACGTGACCCAGGAGTGCCGTGCTGTTTCCACCTTAGAGCTGTGTATGACAACAGGTAATGAACTTAAATTGTAGCAAAGGGAGGCTCAGGAGAAACATTAATAAAACCTTCCTCCGATCGAGACAGTGACAGGCTGCCTTGGAAAGAATCCAGCACCACAGCAACGGGAACCTCTGGGGCCACTTTAGATGGCATCGCTGGGCATGATGTGAGCATCATTGGTTCTGAACCAGCATAGGGTGGGATTTTTAATGATGTGCCTCCTTCCACTGACTCTTTCTGTTGTGGTCAATAAACAAAGTTCCCTTGTTTGCACTTTCTGGGCTTTTCACCTATCACCTTTCAATCAATCCTGAAATGTCAGCTCCGTTAGCCAGTCAACAAATATGGCCAGGCTCCACTGCCCGTGGGCTGCTCTTTTGAATAAGCACCCTTTTTACTTCCTCTCATGTCATTCCTCACACTCACAACAAACACTGTCAAGTGTTGATCATTAAAACACTACAATATCAATCTTTTGTGGGCAAGATGCCAGCACCTCAAACCAGGACAACCCTAAAAGCTTGCAAGTGTAATTTATTCTCCTCATCCACCTACATTGATTTAGTATGTTTTACGTTTTAATAACAATTTCTCTAGGGCAAGGGCTACCTTTTTGCTCTCTATTCAGACCATGCTTAATGCCCAGCTTAGTCTTAGTTTACAAATGGCCCTGCTAGCACTAGAATAATAAAGTGGCGTTTAGGATTCACTGAAACCCATCTCAAGGAATAATACAGCCTGGACTTGCTTTTGCAGGATCGAAACATTTTGACAACCTGTTTCAATTTTACAAACTTTAACTGTAAAGGTAGACAGTTCTCCTATCGGATTCTGCCTTTAGTAACAAAAAAAACCCAAAAAAGAACACCACAAAAAAAAAAAAAAAACAAACCAACTCCACAACACAAAACACCAAAAAGCCAAGCTAAAACGAGCTCATCCATTTCTAAAACTGAAGCTAGGAGAAAAGACATTGATCACTAAAAATAAAGACAGAAGCGTTTTCAGAGATCTATAGCCACATGGGCTTCTAGCTTGCCAGGAGTCATCTTCCTGGCAAGAGACCTGTTTGTCATCCCTGGGAAAATCATACCAAGTCAAGTAAAAATGTTGATGGAAGAAGCAGTCCACACATGGCACATACGTGCTGTCCTGAAGGAGATGCTCAAGCCCTCCGCCTTTGCCTGTGATGGGGTTTCACAAAAGACCAGGTCAGAGGAGCAACAAGACCCACTTCCCTGCCTGCGGGTGGTTGAGGGCCAAGGGTAGAGGGTGTCAAGGAAGCTGCTTGCTCATGGTCCTCATGAGCTTGTTGGCGCACTCCCAGCAGCGGGGAAGGAGCAAGAGACAAAAGATGTGCCAGACCGCAGGATCAGAACCAGACTGGGGAAACGGGGCTGTGTCTGGAGGTTAAGGGTGAACAGAGAGATATCTGACTGGAGACTGGGCGTTGAGAAATGGAGGAAAAGACTGAGGGGAGAGAAGAAAGCAGCTACCAGTATCACTGTCAGCCAGTCCCCGATGCAGGAGTGTGTGGAGGAGCAGGGAGGTGACGCTGGCCAAAAGAAAGCATCGAGGTAGGAGAGGAGACAGGGACTGGCTGTGCCAGAAGACACAGCAGGAACCAGTGTGCCTGTGAAGGGGAAATAGCTCTGACAAGGAACTGGGAAAGAGCTGGGACCTGCTGAGCAAGGAGGACAGGGTAAAGTGTAAAAAAGGGAAGAAGAAACCTCAGGATGGGACTTGGGATATTTTTTTCTCTTAAAAAAAATAAAAAATAAAAGCCTGTCAAAATTAAAACTATTAAAAGAAATTTGAGTTTACCAAATCAAGCATTCAAGGGCCAGGAAATGTTTGACCTAAGACTGTCCCCAGAATCTCAGTGTGACCTCCCTCAGTGTATGAGTTATAATACAGTCTGATATGACTAAGCTTTGAATTTCCAACATTGCAACTTAACCACTTCTGATTTAGCTTTGTGTCACTCTGCCTTATGTGGGAGAGAAACACACTTACATAAACCAAACAGTACCCTCAAGAAACTAAATCATCCGTCCTGCGTATTAAATAAAACCAACAGTATTGATAATACACATCCTGCCTTGAACTCTACAGAAAGAAATCTTTGAAATAGCATATAATTAAACTGAAAAAAATTGCTGCAGGGAGATTATATAAAAACAAATTAATCTAATAATCATATATAACTGTAACTGAAAATATTAGAAGCAATTCTCAAATAGGAGCAATTAGGAAAAATACTGTCATCAGCACAAATGTAGGAAGGCACATCCCCCCTCCCTCGTTGCAAAGTAGGGTGCGCGACAAGCAGGAGAAGCAACATTTGGTCACTGGAAAAGAGGGATCAAAACAGCTTCATCACAGAAGAGTAAGGCAGGGCTTTGGGTCCATCAGGAGGGCAGGAGGAGGGCAGAACTGGGGGTTTAAAAAATCCTACTCTGTCAGCACAGGGCACATAGAGAATAGCTGGGAACACAGATTCCCTGGGCTGGACCATGCAAAAGCAGCTTTTTTTTTTAAGGAAAACTGAAATTTGAAGGCAAAACAAGCCCATCTGAAGAACATGCCAACTTATCTTAGTTATTCTGGTGTTTTATCTGGTTTTTGCTTTGATTTTTCAGCAGTATCTATTCGTTGCCAAGCCTGTTATTTCACACATGACTCAGAGTAAAATCCTAAGTATGTTTCCCAGCCTACTGAGCT